AGTAAATACACTTTCCATAAAGCAGATCACATACACTTTGTCTCATGACACTGACCACAATCTAGCACAATGCAATATCTCCCATCCCATTTCCTCCCAGTAGTTACCTCTTCCCTGTGTCCATCCTTCCATGCACTCCTACCCCCTGAGCTATCTCCCTGTGCCTTAGCAGCCCTTCTTTCTCTCTTGCTTGTTCTCTCCAAGGAGTGTATCTACTTCAGGTAAATGCTCAACTAGAATGCCTGTCTATTGTTTGGCTGGAAGCCACAGGTGTGCGTTCAATTCCAGACCTGAAGGGCAGCTAGGGACCATAGTCTCAGTGGTTCCACCAGGCTTGATCTGGCCAGCAAACCTGTTTGCCACTTTTTTTCTTTCTCCAAATGATTTTGAGTTTTGTTCCACATTGTTCCTCCTGTCTATCCAGGATATACTACAAAGATCCTCTTCCAAGTGGTTGACAGTAGTAGCCGAGCACCATCTATTTCTTCTGGTCTCATAGTCATATAAGCTACAGATCAGATGGTGTACCAGTCACTAGTACTAATTGTTTCCATGAATTTTGGTTTTCTTCATTCTTCTTTGTTCTGGATGAGGAGAGACCCATCGTTGCATCTAGATGGCAGCTTGCAAGCTTTTAAGATCTCAGTCACTACTTGCCACAGTAGAAGATGGAACAATGCTTTGTGTAATATGTTATGCCAATTGAGCTTGATGTCCTCTGCAACTATGGTCCTGAGCCCACAGGTTCAACTACTTGGTCCCTCTGGGTAGCTGGCTGTGGCCAAGCAGTGACTACAACCTTGCCCCTTGTCAGCCCCATTATGCACCTGGGAATTCAGATCATACACATAAGGTTATTGGGCCACTGTCTACCAACCCTATACATGTTCTTGGGTGCACTCTCCACTTCATGTGCATACCTAATATTTCAGCCTGTCCACCCATCTATCCACCCATATACCTGTGTTTGCCTTCACTGAGCACACCGTGCTATATGTGCAAAAAGGTTCATCTTTGTTGTCTATACTTCCCATGTACCTCTCTATGTCTTTCTCTTCCTCAATGTTACTATATTGATCACTTACATTTGGTACATTGCCCTTTTCTTCACCCAAATCAAAACTTATCTCTATCTATATAACAGTATTCCTTCCCCTCCCCTCCCACCCCTCGTAACCAACAAAGAAAATGACCTTCCATAGATAAGCATTTCCTTGACTATTACAATAACGGACTAATACAATATTTGTCCTTTTGTGATTGAGTTATTTCACTCAGCATAATGTCCTCCAAGTTCATCTATGTAATGTGGTGTTTTGCAGATTCTACATTATTCTTTAGTGTTGCATAGTATTCCATTGTATGTATGTACCATAGTTTGGATATCCATTCCTCAGTTGATGGACATCTAGTTTGTTTCCATCTTTCGGCTATTGTAAATAGTGCTGCGATGAACATGGATGTGCATATGTCTGTTCTTGTCATGGCTCTCACTTCTTTAGGGTATATATACCTAGTAATGGAATAGCTGGGTCAAATGGTATTTCTATTTCCAGCTTTTGAAGGAATCACCATACTGCTTTCCACAATGGTTGTACTGACTTTGTCTTCTTGAACTGCCTTTTGTAATCTTCTATTCAGCTCTTTTACTTCATCATTTCTTCCATTTGCTTTAGCTAGTTTGTGTTCAAGAACAAGTTTCAGAGTCTCTTCTGACATCCATTTTGATATTTTCTTTCTTTCCTAACTTTTTAATGACCTTTTGGTTTCTTCATATATGATACCCTTGATGTCATCCCACAATTCATTTGGTTTTCAGTCATTAGTGTTAAATGTGTCAAATGTATTCTTGAGGTGGTCTCTAAATTCAGGTGGGACATAGTAAAGTTCATACTTTGGCTTTCATGGATTTGTTTTAATTTTCTTCAGCTTCAATTTGAACTTGCATGTGAGCAAGTTCCACAGTCAGCCCTTGGCCTTGCCCTGATTGATGATATTTTCCATTGTCTCATCCCACAGATTGAGTCAATTTGATTCCTGTGTATTCTATTCAGCAAGGTCCACATGTATAGTCACTGTTTATGTTGATGTAAAGAGGTATTTCCAATGAATATGTTGTTGGTCTTGAAAAATTCTGTCCTGTGATCTCCCATGTTGTTTCTATCACCAAGGCCATATTTTCCAACTATTGATCTTTTTCTTTATTTCTGACTTTCATATTCCAATCACCAGTAATGATAAATACATCTTCATTGCATGTGTGATCAATTTCAGACTGCAGAATTGGTGAAAAAAAATTCAATTTCATCATCTTTGGTATTAGTGGTTGGTGCATAAATTTGAATAATAATCCTATTATCATGTCTTCCTTGTAGGTGTATGGATTATCCTATCGCTGACAGTATTGCATTTCAGGATAGACCTTTAAATGTTCTTTGTGACAATGAATGCAATGTCTTTCCTCTTCAATTTGTCATTCTCTGCATAGTAGATCCTATGATTGTCCAATTCAAAATAGCCAACACCAGTTTATTTCAGGGATCTCTGATAGCGTAGTGCCTAAGACACTTGACTGCTAACCAGAAGCCTGGTGGTTCAAACCCATCAGCCACTCCTCAGAAAGAAGTTTGGGCAATCTGCTTCCATAGTGATCCCACCTCAGAAAGGAGGGGTCACTATGAGTCGGGTCCAACACAACTGCACATAACAACAACAACAGTCCATTTCAGCTTGCTAATGCCTAAGATATTGATCTTCTAATGTTCCATTTCACTTTTTACAACTTCTAATTTTCTTAGATTCATACTTTGAACATCTCATGTTTCAATTATTAGTGCATGTTTGCAGGTGTTTCTTCTCATTTTGAGTCATGCTACATCAGCAAATGAAAATCCCGAAAGCTTTACTCCATTCACATCATTAAAATTGATTCTACCAGGCTCTTCCACAGTCATATTTCGAGTTTGTTCCAACTTGAGAGGCTCATCTTCCAGCACTGTATCAGATAATGTTCCACTGCTATCCATGAGGTTTGTTGTTGTTCTTGTTATATGCAGTCGAGTCAGACCCAACTCATAGCGACCCCTCCTTGGGTTTCCAAGGCAGTATCACTACAGAAATAGATTGCCCCATCTTCCTTCCGAGTGCCCAATTTTTTCAGAAACAGATTACCAGGTCCTTCCTCCCAGTCTGACTTAGTCTGGAAGCTACATTGAAACCTGTCCATCATGGGTGACCCTTCTGGTATTTGAAATACTGGTGGCATAGCTTCTGGCATCATAGCAACACACAAGCCAGCACAGTACATCCCTAATATTACATATTTGTAGAGTTCAGTTTTTGGTTTTCTTGTGTGTCTTCCTCACAACATGTTGAGCAACTTGAGGGCGGTGTCTGAAACTTTTCTGTACTCCCAGTGCTTTACCATTGCCTGGCACTGGAACATAGTTGGCCCTTAACACTTGCTTATTGAAAGAATAAATGGATTAATGTATAATGAATACATGAACAGGAACAAAAGCGGCAACAAATAACAACCCTTCTTGTACCCTCATCCATATCAGTGAGATGAACCAACTAGCATTAAATCAATTCAACAAAGATTTATTGAGCTGTAAACCAGTGTAAGAGGATGCTAGCATTTTGCAGAAGAATATTTCAGTAATGAGGGACCCCAAGCACAGATTTCTGGCCCGTAAAAGAAACATGATAACCATATCTTTATCACAGGATTTCTGTGGTATCAAATGGCATAATGAATATGAAAGCACTTTGGAAACTATAAAGTGATAGCAAATGCTGATATTTGTTATTTTATTGTTATTAAATAATAACTAAGTCAGACCCTGAAAGAGGATTTAACATTGAGGATTTAGAGTCACATTCATTGTCAAAAAGAATATTTCATGATCTAACTTGAAGTACAACACTGTCAGTGACAGGATATTATCCATACGCCTACAAGAAAGACTAGTTAATAAAAATATTATTCAAATTTTCACACCAATGACTAACGCCAAAGATGAAGAAATCTTTGCCTATTTCTACAGTCTGAAATTGATCAAACATGAAATCAAGATGCACTGATAATTACTGGTGATTGGATATAAAAGTCAGAAACAAAGAACAAGAATTAGTAGTTGGAAAATATGGCTTTGGTTATAGAAACAACATGGAGGATCATAGGATAGAATTTTTCGAAAACAACAGCTTATTCACTGGAAATACCTTTTTTCAGCAACATATACATGAATCTCACTGAATGGAACACACAGGAATCAAATCAACTACCTCTGTTGGAAGGGATCAGGGAGAAATTCCGTATCAGAGAAAGGGCAGGGGCCAACTGTGGGACAAACTATCAATTGCTCACATGCAAGTACAAGTTGAAACTGAAGAAAATTAGAACAAGTCCATGAGAGGCAAAGTACAACCTTGAGTATATTCTACCTAAATTTAGAGACTACCTGAAGAATAGGTTTGACACATTGAACACTAGTGACCAAAGACCAGACAAGTTGTGGAATGACATCAAAGATATCATACATGAAGAAACCAAAAGATCATTAAAAACAGAAGGAAGAAAGAAAAGACCAAAATAGATGTCAGAAGAGGCTCTGAAATTTGCTCTAGAATATAGACAGCATAAAAGAGGAAGACCTTTAACAAGATGGACTGACACAGTGGCTGCAACAATGGGCTCAAATACAGTAATAACTATGAGGATGGTGCAGGACCAGGCAGTGTTACCTTCTATTGTACACCTCTTAGGTCACTATGAGTAGAGTCAACTGGACAGTACCTAACAACAAAAAAAAAAAAACAACGTTAGACCCTGAAGGAGGATCTAAAGTAGAGGAAGCCACTGTCCACAAGACACCCACGTAATGAAGAACTCTAAAACTAAAAAACCTTAGGACCATTGTCTTGTCGACAATCTAGTCAATTGGCACAATATATTTCTTTTTGTTGTTGTTGTTGGCCAAGTTTTTTTCATTTGTTCATTTCTTGCATTTGAAGTATTCTTCAATGACATCCTTGGCCTGAGCGTCTTTGCCATAGTCCTTAACCACCATACAACTGCAACCAACCACTTTCTGAGGTTTGCCCTCTCTGTCAATTTTGCAGAGGCCTACCCACTCCCCTAGTTTCTTGTTGTCATCAACCTTAATCAGGTTGATTTGGTGTTCAGCACAAAGGGCCTCTACTAACTTGACATACATGGGCTCATCACAGTTGGATGCAAGCACACAAAGATGGGCTTGGTGCCTTTTCCTAGGTTTCCTGTAGAATGGATGCTTTTCACAACTTTTTCAGAATTTGTGCTTAACCCATGAACTTCACGCTTTCTTCCATTGGCTGAAGTTTTGTTCTGGTTGCAACCCACAGTATGGAAACTGATAAACGTACTTTTCTAAGGCTTTGGCAGCTTCGTGAGTTCCACATGCTAGACCATCGTGGATGAGGAGAGTCTTCAGCACCTCTTGTAAAGCAGTATTGACGTCCATTACACCTCCAGCAGCAATGCTTTCCTCGGCCATGAGGGTGGATTATGGGTGGGGCCGAATTTTGAACGCACCTGAGCCTCCACCTCTGCACAGCTCTGCAGCAACACGGAAAGAGCACAATACATTTCTTAAAATTTATGTTCTACTTCCCAGTATAGGGTGTAGTTTCTGGGTCTTAAAAGCTTACAAGTAGCTATCTAAGATACAGTTATTAGTCTTTATTTGTCTAGAATAAAAGAGAAAGAAAGAAATCCAAGGATCGGAGAAAGAACTGTACTATAGGACTAATTGTCTGCATGAACCACTGCCTACTCCACCTTGAGACCAGAAGAACTAGATGGTGCCCTGCTACAAGTACTAAACATTCTGATGAGAAACACAATGGATGAAACCTGATAATAAGGGAAGAAAATGTGGAACAAAACTTCAAATTCTTGAAAAATCCAGACTTAGTGGACATATAGAGGCTGAAGGAGTCTCCGAGACTATGGCCTTGAGTTGTTCTTCAAACTTTGAATTGAAACTGTCCCCTGAAGTTGTCTTTAAGTAACAGTTTAGCCCAAACACACTTGACTGTTGTGTTTCTTTAAATATATATATGTAAAACCAAAGAGTCAACAGCTATTCTAAAGCATAGATGAGACAGCTGAGGGCAGGGAGGTTTAGTAAATAAAAGTAAAACAACTAGAACAAAAACAATGAGGATATCGACACAATGTGAAGAATGTAACCAATGTTGTTGATCATTATGTCTAGAAACTGTGAATTGGGGGGAGGTTTTGCTGAGTATATGTTCATCAAAAATAAAATAAAACTTTTTAAAAAGTAAACAAAAAAACAAACCTGTTGCTTTCTAGTTGATTGATTCCAACTCATAGTGACCCAATGTGTATTACAGAGTAGAACTGTACACAGGTTGGCTATAATCTTTATGGAAGCAGATCACCAGACTTTGCTTCTGTAGCACTACTGGGTACATATGAATCACCAACCTTTTCAGGTTAGTAATCAAGCACAAAAGGAGCTCTGGTGGTGTAGTGCCTAAAGCATTTGACTGCTAACCAGAAGGTTGGCAGTTCAAACCTACCAGGCACTCCGCAAAAGGAAGACTAGGCAATTCACTTCTGTAAAGATTTACTACCTCAGAAACTCAAAGGGGGTTGCTATGAGTCAGAATCAACTTGATGGCAGGAGTTTGGTTTGGTTTTTTTGAGTCAAGCGCGAACCATTTGTGCCACCAGTGGATCTTGAAATAGTCAAAGGACTATGAAATAAGGCAGAAAATAATAAAATTTGAAAGCTCTATAAGAGCTCAAAGGAGGGCGAAATCTGGGTTCAGAGATCAGGATAGCCCATTAATGTAAAGTCTTTTGGGAGTGCTGTGGGAGGTTTAATGGCAAAGTCCCCAGTCTCAAGCCATTTATAGTCATATACAGTGTCATGAATGACTGAAATATGTGGTAATTGAACATAGAGAGCCTTTCCAGTGTGTGGTCAGTGAAGGCATTGGAAGACCTGGGCTGGATCTTGATGAGTAGGTTGGATTCAGGTAAGGGGAGAAGAGGAAAGATATTCCTTGCAGAAAGGAAGATAATGAACAAAGGAAGGATTGAGCTTGGAGGGTAGAGGAGACAAATGAGGAAGCAGAGCAGGGGTTCCTGTGTGCTCCATCCTGTCCTCATTCCATTACCCCAGGCCAGGCATAAAATCTCAAGATGTGCCATGCTGGGTTGGATCAATAGTCCATTCAATATTCTATATTTGGACAGTAGCCCCAGGGGATATTTTGGGAGAGCCTCTGCTTTTTCTATTTGGATGATTCTTTAGAGATTAAGAAGGTAAATTATATAATAACCCATTATGGAGCACTCATTCATAATTTTCTATTAACCCTACCTATATCCATAAGCAAAAAAAAAAAAAAAAATCCCCATTTTAAAGAAACAACCATCTTAAAGGAGTGTTTTATAATATAAAACTATTTGCATGAGCTCTCAGATGGCTGATAGAAAAAAATATATATATAAAAAGCAACACTTAAAAAAATATACTGTAGAGACAGAAACCAGATCAGTGGTTGCCTGAAGCTGGGGTGGGAATAAGAATTGACTGCAAGTGGGCACAAGGGAAACTTCTGGGGGATGGAAGTACCCTAAGATTAGATTCTGATAGTGGTTATACAACTGTGTAAATTTACTAAAAATCATCAAACTGAACACTTACAATAGGTTATTTTATGGTATGTATATTGTATTTCATAAAGCTATTCTTTTTCTAATCCTATCTAAATGGTTTATCCTGTCCCTACTGATAAAACAACATTCTTTATAAATAAAGAGATTATAAGGACAGAGATGAGAATGGCAGAAGACTCAAAATTGTATCACATGAAAAATGTGTCAAAAACCTAAGGATGTTCACCCTGAAAAGAGAACAGGAAACCTGGTGGGAACTGGTGGTCTTATATAATCTTTTGACAGAAAAAGTTGCTGTTGCTCTCTGTAGCTCCAAAGAAGTTAAGCTAACTAAAATGGATGAAGGTTTCAGTTTGCTCTGAGAAGCAGGAGTCATGGAAGTATTCAAGTCTAGGCCAGATGCACCCCTCACTGAATATTACAGAAGGTTCTAAAGCTTGGAGCATAAGGACTTTAAGGTTCTTTCTCACCTTGAGAGTCTATGATTTTATAAACTTAGTTAAATGTGAGTTGGCTTCCCCCATTAGGGAAATTGAGTTAATGTACAGACTTACGCCTCTTTTCTTACCAAAGAACCCAACTACAGAATTATGCAAAAAGATCAAGCAACTAAGGAAGAACAAATGAATAAATGAAATGAAGCTTCCTTCCTTCCCCCAGAGTTGGGAGTATTTTACAGTACCTAGAGATTGAAGCCCAATTCCTGTGTATCTCTGGGTCTTAAAGGAATTGATTTTTAACTCCTTGGCCTGACATTCAGAAGCTCTCCAGTCTACAGAACGCCAAGCTCCCTTTCCAGCCTCACTTCAATACTCCCCACTGTAAACCATCTGTTCCAGGCAAACTGGCCAACACAGCCTCCCAAACACCTTTCACATTTTCCATTCTGCATCTTCCCTTAGATCATTCCTCCCATGTAAAATGCCTCCTTTTCTGCTCCCTACATTTGTGTAGGTCCCATACTGGCCACAAACCCTAGCTCCTATTTTACTTCCTCTCAGCACCCCATAGGTGAGACAGATTGTGGAGGTGTGGTTTGGGAGTGCCTTCACTGGGAGTTGTCTACCAACAAAGGCCAAAGCTGGTAATTGGGAGGCTGAAACTACAACAGGCTCAACGCAGAAGTGGAGGCCAGGAATTCAAAACAGGTCAAAGCAAGATGATGCTTACCTTTGGCACACATTTAAGAGATCCAGACAGATACTGTTGGATGGCTGGCTATTGCTATAGTTGGCCTTTTTTTTTTTTTTTCCCAAAGTTTTAATTTATGTGTGTGTGTGTCTACACTTACATATATGTATATATGCATAGACACACATATATATGTAAGAGTAAGAAAGTTAAACCTAAAAAGGAATAAATTATTATCACCTTTTAAATAGTTTGCTTATATAATTGTTATCCTAGGGTATCTTCTATTTTTACTCTTAATTAAAATGGTGCCCATGCTGAAAACCTTAATGGTCATAGAAACTATTCATTTAGGCAAGCCAGTGAGAGGTAATTATAATTTCTCCAGAGATTGTAGGAACTAACTTATACAGCATTCTCCAAAAGGTGTCTTCTTAAATTTTGAGAGTTTCTATTCAAAAGCATTAACAGGAAAGTGAAGTGAAAATTGCAAATGAAAAGACCATATCCTAGATGTCTTAATTATCTAATAGTATTATAACAGAAATACCACAAAAGGGTGGCTTTAAATAACAGAAATTTATTTCTTTTAGTTCTAAAGGCTAAAAGTTCCAATCAGTTTCTCATCCATGTTGATTCCTTCTGTGAGCCTCCTTCCTGGTTTCTGGGTCTGCCTGTGATCCTTAGTGTTCTGTGGTTTCCGTCTTTCCCTATGTTTGTCTCTGTGTCTATTCTACTCTTTTTTTTATAGGTCAGAAGTAATTAGATTTAGAACTTACCTGACACTGGTATCACCTTATTAACAGCACAAAAGAAAAACCTTATATTCATATAATATCACATTTACAAATATAGAGGTTAAGATTTCAACACATATTTTGAGCAGTTACAGTTCATTCCTTAACAGTGGGATTTTTTTTTTCCATAATTGTAATTTGGGTGAAAGTTTACAGAGCAAATTGGTTTTCCATTCAGCAATCCATACAAGTTCTCTTTTGTGACATTTCCTGCAATCCCTACACTGTAACAGCATTCTTCAACACTGGGAATTTATAAAATGGAAAAATCTTTTAAAAATTCATTTTATAATTTTCATTATTAATCTATGGTCTGTACATAAATTCTGCCTTCTTCTTTTGAATATTTATATAATGGTATTCTGGAACAAAGCATATATGCAAATACTTATTAGACTTAAGTGAATTGATGCAAACTAAACCCACTTCTGCTTTCCAGACTTTTGGTGACAAGATTGAATAACAACATGTCATATTCAAGTTGATTGCTGTGATGCTGGACGCTATGCTACCAATATTCCAAATACCAGCAGAGTCACCCATGGTAAACATGTTTTGGTGAACTTCCAAAGTAGGATAGACGAGGAAGAAAGGCCTCATGAACTATTTCCAAAAATGTGTTGCTGTTACTGTTAGGAGCAAAAATTAGCCAATTAAAACCTTATTGATCATGGCAGATATTGTCCAATTCTCTTGCTTTTGCTTTGGACATGTAATCAGAAGGTATCAATCATTAGAAGGGGACATAATGTCTGGTGAAGTAGAGGGTCAGTGAAGGCATGGGAGACCATGACTGAAACTGGCACTATAGCCACAACAATGGACTCAAACATGCTGATGATTGTGAGGATGATCTGAGAACAGGCAGTGTTTAGTCCTGTTGTACAAAATGTTGCCATGAGTCAGAGTG